GACTTCTTTTGGACTTCTTTCGGTGTTTCGGTGCATTTATACAAATTGGGATGCTTTGGCCTCCATGAGGTCCATCGTAAAGTGCAGGCCCGTAATGTTCCACTCAGATGCCAGCGCCACGAAGGGCTGCATCAGGAAGGTCATGTGCTGCATGAACCTCGTTTGCACTTGCGGCCGGGCCGGCCTGCGTCTCGTTCTCAGATTGTCCTATGGGGCCTCGTTGGGGTTACGATGTTCCACTTGTAAATTCCAGTAATAGGAGCCCAGCGCCTGAACACCGAGTTGAAGTTCAATGCCTGACAAACCTCTAGCACTCAGACTAGACGTGAAGCTCTACTAGACTGTACTGGACAAATATAGCTCAAACCAACAGCACAAGCTTGTGTGCTCCCACTCACGGCAGCCCCGCAGCCACGACCCGGCAGCCGCCAAGGCAGGGCGTAGACCCAAGTAGGTGATGATGCTGTCATCCTTGGTCCCCAGAATCTTGGAGTCAGGCTCATGCGCTCGCGAAGTCTAGACGACCCTTGGACCTCGAAACATCTTGGACATGGTTGAGCCAGTCAACAGACTTCTACTTACAGTAGTCGGAAGTCCGAGGTGCTGTCTTTCGCAGTTTCGTGCAACTGCTGAATGATTCCACGATTGCCGCCAAAAGCTGGCAATAACTTGTAAAATGATCTCCACCTACCAAGTTTCCAGCCTTGCAGCTCTTGCAATAAGTAACACTTCTGACACCGTCTTGAATCGGGTTCAGTGGCCGGGATGGAGGCGGCCAAAGCCTTGGCATCCGTGGCGAGCCCACGGGTCATGCCTTAAAGCACGGCTCACGGATGCCGGTGTCGGAAAGGTGCTGGAACACAAAGGAAGATATCGAATCCTCTATGGGTCCCGCCTACAGAGGATAGTCGAAACTCCACGATCCCTGGGAACCATTGCGCATTAATCTCGCACTCTGCCTGCAGAAGCGATCTGACTAGTCACAGAACTTGCTGGGATGAGAAGTTCCAGAGTCTAGAACCTGCTCTGAGGAGCATGGCTTCAAGCGGCTAGTGCTTCGGTCCAAGGGGATTGGAAGCCCTTCACTGTTTTCTGTGCCCAAGCAGACTGAGTCTTTTCAGCGTGAGCTATTCTGTGCTTGCTGGCAAAAAGCTACAGGCACACAAGCACGAGCTGCATCACTCCGAGTCCCCAAGTCCGGCTAACCACAGCCCTTTCCAAAGGCCGAATTCGCTATCTCGGCCCAGGTGCTCATGTCCACGAAAAGTGGTATTCGAGCAACCCGGGCAGAGAGGCCTCTGGAGCAAAAGCAGATCCCAATCTGGCGCTCATCCCGCTGGTGGGCAGTCGCGGACACATGCAAACTTTTGCACAGCTTGCCAATTGCCCGCTCCGCATGCATACATACATCCATGCCTCCGTGCATGTATGCATACGGTCACGTGGCCGTATATTGCCCAAATATGGGCTGTGTCAAGCGTGGACTCGGTTGCAGAGGTTTCGAACAGCCCTCTGCAGGCTGCTGAAGCCCACGACCAGACTATTGGCTCCTCGGGACTCGTTGGTGTGGCCCCGAAACCTGCGTTCTGCCGCCGATTTTGGACTCGGCGGTGGTGCTTGTGGGATGTTTGTTGACTCTGCGATGTAAGGCTTGGATCTGAACCCTAACCCTTCTTGCGTTAAGCGAAAAACACTCTGCTGATGCCAGGCTTAGCCGAGAGGCTCGCGGACAGTACGAAGAAAGAGACGACTGCAGCAGGACGAACTTTCTTGTAGAGGGCCTGGAATTCATGAGGAGTGATGCCGGCATTCAGGACGCAAATCAGGTACATTTCGGACAGGTTCTGAGGTCAGCAGGGAAGCTCAAGAGACCATGAAGACCTGAAACACCCGATTGCAAATCAGAGCATCTCTCGACTCTCCCACGTCCAAGGTGCCAGCGAGGAGTCGATCTGCCGCTGGAGAACCTGAAGTCGTGTTCAAGACCTCTGTCTTGAAGGTTTAACCCCTGCCCCTTCATCTGGGGTAGACACCCCAGGGAAAACACAGCGGAGCCTCTAACTTCGATCTTGGCCGTGGGAGTCTGAAGTAGGGTTTCTCCCCCTGAAGCCTCACGAGTCCAGGGCGAGGAGAGCGACTCAAACTGGTCGGCGGCATACAGCAGAGCTGTCTGCGCAGGGATCTCATGCTATGAGTTGCTGAGGTCGGAAGCGGTCGACGCATGCAGATTCAACCGGGCAAGACTTGGGGCACGTTCCACCCATCAGCTGACATTTCTGCTTCACAGCATGGGCTGCAGCCACTATGTTGAAACAGGCTACCTGCTCTCTAGGACCTTGTGTTCCAGGTCAACGTGCGAGGATGTGCGGCCGTGCCCGAGTAAACAAAACGACATATTTGAACCAGCCTGCTCCTCTGTCCACTGCGGCATGAGAGCATGATGCGGGTATCCTGGCATGCCGACTGTGCAAGCTGAAGTTTCCAGCAAGGAGGCATGCATGTGTATGTATGTATGTATGTATGTATGTACATATGTATGCATATGAATGTAACTGAATGCATGCATGTATTTATGTATGTATGTGTGTATGTACGTGTGGTTGTAATTGCGCATGTACAATATGCATGCATTGGGTATCATTAGGTGTGTGTGTGTGTGCGTGTGCGTGTGCGTGTGCCTGTGTGTGTGTGTGTGTGTCTGTGCGTCGTGGCCTGACTCCTGCAGCAGGTTGATGTAAGCGCCCCCAAACGATGCCACATGTACCTTGCACATGGCCGTAGTATCATGTTCATATATGTGGGGATTCAACTTGCAGGTGTTTGCAGTCGACTTGGCCTTCCACGACTTAAGGAACGTAACAGGCCTTGCTGTCCTTGTCTCTGCTTTAAGCGATGACACGGGCATCACCCCAACTCACCTCGAAGTACGGCTTGGCGGCATCCGCCACAAGCAGGGTGTGGGTCACCATGGCAGCATTGACACCTGTCTGTTCGACACTGAAAAGTCGATACCCCCATTCCTAGAAGGCTCCGAAGCAGGCAAGCTACCAAAACGAGCCCCTCATGACACTCCTGCTGAAAACTCGCGTCTGCGGCCTATTCGTTTTTGTGGCTATCGAGATCGAAAGAGTCAAAAAGGACTGAAGTGATGAAGTAGAGTAACAGGCTTTCGCGAAATCGCTAAACTGTTGTTTCAGGATTCAGCACCAGTGCCCTTGTAGGCGGCTTGTGAGCTGAAAGCCTCTCTGTGAGAAGCTATACATTGAATGCTTGAGCATCGACCCTGAAACCCTAACCCTGCACACCTTCGCACAACAGCAGCAAAGTGGGCAGCCCCGACTCCTCGGCAAACACGCAGACAGTCCAGGGTTCCGGAGAGTTTAGCGCAGTTAACCGGGAGGCCACTCCACCCCGCCGCCCGGCAATTCTAGCTTAATGGCACCGCATTCACGATCCTGAAGCACTAGAGATTGTAAGCTTTGCATACCGACAACTCTAGACTCTAGCCTTGAAGCATCGAAATCAGATCGGCTTTTGGCCAAATCACCGGGCCGCGCTGTGGTTCTACGGCATAGGCGCGAGACGTGCGAATCTCCACCTCCTAGGTCACAGACGGATCTTGTCTACAAGGACGATGCTTGGGGTTTGGCCTAAAGTCTGAATGTAGGGGTGAGGCTTGTGGTGATTCCGAGAGCACATTTGCCGGGACGGTGCTCTCGTGCTGCACATAGCCTGCTTTGCTTGCCAGCAATCGAAAAATCTTTCAAACCAACCCCGGAATCAAGGCCTCTAAAGAATCAAACAAGGCCAGCGTCATGGTGTTGCACCGCCGGGGTGAAGGGATCCACCAGGTAGGTGATGGACAAACCCAAAGAAACCTAAACTTTCGAGACGCAAGCTTGGCACATGCTTGGGATCTATATAGCTTGAGTCCCAGAAAGTCTACAGGATTCGGAGGAGTTTGAGACGTCGGAGATTTGAGGAGATACTGGAAAGCTCCGGAGGTCGAGCCAAGGTCTGTGTACGACTTCAACATCGCCTTGAAATCTCAACTTGCGACCCTCGAGGCTTTCTCACTGGCCCAAAACCCAAGGAAACAAAAGTCGAAACTTTCAGAATCGACTACCTTATATGAACCCTAAAAGTTGAAAAGTTGAGTTTGCAGCCAATAAGCTTTGGAGTTGGTCACAAGGCGAGAAAAGACCTGAAGCCATTGCCTAGCAATGCTGCATCTGAAAGCCGTTGCGACCGAGGAGCTGCGACTGCTGCTGCAAGCAGTGCGCAGCAGCACCGGCACGAGAACATGGCAGGCAGAAGTTAGGGGATGTAGACTGACGTCCCTGCCGTGGGGTTCTCCGAGTCTGCGGGAGGTCTCGAGTTGGATTGGTTTCGCTTCGCTGGGGTAGAGATTTGGACATCATGGAATTAAGGGCCCAAGGATTGGAAGTGTGGGGCTGGGGATGGCATGCTCTAAGTGGTGGCGGCGAAACAGTAGAAGATTTCGACATCTCGAGCTTTTGGCCTCTGTTTGTCGTGACGCGTCTGCTGTGTAAGATCGTGCAAGGACGCAAAGCAGAAGAACCGAGCCTGGACATGAACCCCAACCCAAACCCAAAATATGAATTTAGCTGTCAGAACATGTGAATGATAGGGGCGTTGATGTTGGAGTTTTCAACTCTCATGCCTCTGATGCTTGAAACTTCTGGCCACCAGTGGTCACCGTTGTGGAGCTTACGAGCAGCACCCGAACTTGGAACCCGAGCAGCCCACACATGTGTGGTGTCACTTGCTGAGCTCGAAAATTTCATAAACCAGAACACTGGAGATCCAAAGCCCTCAGGCCAACGTCTACACTTCCGACCATGCACTGCGAACTTTGTGACGAGGTGGCTCCAGCCCCCCCTTGTAGCTGGCCTGACGGGCCCGCTGGTCACCTCGCGGCGCTGGCAGCGTGTGACTGTGAGCTGTTGGGGGCTCGGTGGGCTTCTGGAGATTACTCCCCGAAACTTTGGCCGTGGCTGCGAGGTCTTCTAGAGATCTGTGCCTGGAGACAGATTGATCCGCCTTTGAGATGGCAAGCCTCCCATGCCAAGGGAGCAGACTGCAGCAGACAATTCAAGCCTCAACCAAACAATTGAACCTCCGCAACTCCGAACCGAAAGCCCCGAACGTATCCCTGCATTTGACACGTCTTCAAAAAGCGTGGATTCCGCACGAGCGCAACCTGGTCCGAAACGATGGACAGCGTCGCAGCCGAACTCTGCAGCCAGCAACCTGGCACAAAGCATCCGTGCATCCCGGTGTGGGCCTATAAAGTAATTAATTCTCACGTCAAGACCGAACAAGTATCCACAGGGTTTGGGGCACGGCTCGGCAGAGTGTTGCCAGGGTTTCAATGCATGTAGTATATATATATATATATATGTATATATATATATATATATATATATATATATATATATATTTTTTTTTTTCATTTATTTATTTTTGCATGTTTTTCCACTTGGCCCCTCACCCATCGGAACATTCTTGGTGTGTGGGGACCCAGCAAACCTGCAATATGCAGGTAATTATTCGCAAAATGCATGCGCATTTTAGGACCACGCACGTGCGTGCGTGCGTGCGTGCATGCGTGCCTGCGCGCGTGCGTGCATGTGTGTGTGTGTGTGTGTGCGTGTGTGTGTGTGTGGGTGTGGGTGTGGGTGCGGGTGTGGATGTGGGTGGGTGTGGGTGGGTGTGTGGGTGTGTGGGTGTGTGGGTGTGTGGGTGTGCGTGGGTGGGTGGGTGGGTGGGTGGGTGGGTGGGTGGGTGTGTGTGTGTGTGTGTGTGTGTGTGTGTGTGTGGCTGTGTGTGTGTGTGTGTGTGTGTGTATGTCTGTGTGTGTGTGTGTGTGGCTTTGTGTGGCTGTATGAAGAGGGTGGGTGTGTGAGTGTGAGTGTGAGTGTGAGTGTGAGTGTGAGTGTGTGTGTGTGTGTGTGTGTGGGTGTGTGTGTGGGTGGGTGGGTGGGTGGGTGGGTGGGTGGGTGGGTGTGTGGGTGTGTGAGTGTGTGTGTGTGTGTGTGTGTGTGTGTGTGTGTGTGTGTGTGTGGGTCTGTGGGTGTGGGGATGTGGGGGTGTGGGGGTGTGGCGGTGTGGGGGTGTGTTGGTGTGGGGGTGTGGGTGGTGTGGATCGGTGGATGGGTGGATGGGAGGATGGGTTGACGGGTGGATGGGTGGGTGGGTGGGTGCGTGATTGAGGTGCGGCTAACAGTTAACGGTCCGCGACAACATGTGAGTCGTTCGCAGTACTAAAACACGGTTTGGAAAGCCTGTTCTGGCAAAGGCCGTTCTACCGCCTACAGCTTTGTATACACTGTCAGACCTTTGGCGCACGCACATCTCCAAAAGACAACAAAACACAGCTTCGACTCCCCGCTTGCAGGAATTCTCATCCTCATCAAAGAGTACAACTGACCACACACCAAGCGATGAGCATCGACTCAAATGGTGCAGAACTCCTATCCGAACACAGCATGTGGGCGCACACAGATATCCTCACTGGGTGGGTGGGCGATCCATTCACCACCAGCAGGATGCCGCAAAACGAAAGGGCAGAACAACTGCAACATCGTGTAATGCTGCTCTCACACGGAGCATTCACAACACCAATGACGTCCTGCCGCAGACCAGCATCTCCAGACACGTCTAAGCTACTAACATCGAACAGCAACAGAATCACCCGCGCCGACTTCTTGCAAACGTCCTCATTGCGGCGTCTTCGCTAGTTCACAATCGCATGCTGACACCTCCTTCCCGGCGGTCCTATATTATGTTCGAGTTGCACAATGCCCAAGGAGTCAGAGTGAACTAGAAAAGGATCTAAGTGCCACTAGAAGGGTAATGACCAGGACCCAGGCCTTGGACTATCAGTGCCACAAACCCTTTCGAGGGACGTGATCATGATGTTGCAGCCATCCCGAATACAACATGCATCAAATAGTCGCAGTCGCTATCGTGCAGCAAGCCATGAAGATAGGGACAGTACAGGCAAGCCACCCGCAGCTGAATCACTGCTGCAGCAACATAAGCGCTGAGTAAGAGTGGCATAAGCGCTGACATCTTCGAATAAGGTTCAAAGACATCAGTAGTTCCACCTGCATGGCTTTAGCTGTGCTATGTTGAGGTGTATCGCAAACCTGATTCTGATAGTCTGTGAACGCACGTTGTTCCGACATCCAGTGCGTGTACCGAAGCGGACTCAAGTGAAAATCCTGCAATCTGCAGTCCTGCCTTTGGAGTTGTTGAACCTGGATCGCCAAGCCGGTCTTGCTTGATGGAGGGCATTTAGGTCTTTAAGGTGCTGGGGGAAGTCGATTTGAGGAAGGGTATATGCTCGGAGAGGGAGCTTGAGAACAAGGAGTTTGACGTTCATGAGCCAGACTTGCGGGGCTAAATGTTTCGGCACCGTTCAGGGAGACAGTCTGCTGAGAGGCTTATTGACACAGCATCGGCGAGCTGCAAGGAGGGACTTTCTCAGAACTTGTCGGAGTGATGCCAGAAACGGAAGCCAAACGATCACTTCGACGCGTGGACTTCTCTGCAGCTGAGTTGCCATGTGAAAAACGCGCAGATCTCAGTGCGCTTGCATTCTTCCTTCCAACTCCGCAAAGTTTCCAGGTTTGTGGTGGCCGGTATCAGGGAGTTGTCTGGAACCTAAAATCGGCTCTCGGCTGTCGGTTCTCCAACGTGCGGTGTGCTGAGCGCTGGATGCTGAAACGCCAGGAACACCCCTAGAAAATCGACCCAAGAGGGCCCTCGTCTTCCGGGTTTAGGGTGTGCATCAGTAGGACGCCGTCCTGACACAACTGCGCGGTCTCTGTCTCCAGACGCATTGCCTGGCCCCTGGGCTCGCAGAAAAGTCAGGGGCGGCAAGGGCGGTGCAACCCGAATCCTGCGGCTGTGGCCCTGCATTCCGGACGAGGAAGCGAGGCATCGTACGATCCCACAGCACATCGACCGATGACGAATGTATATGTTCGTGTCCTTTCACTCCGGTCGGAAACATGACAAGCGAGAACACCTGCGGCCTGTAATCTCTCTCCGAACTGCTCGGCTCGATGACTTTCTTGAGGCGAGTCTGATCTTACCTTGTTGCCTATGGCGTATCACACCTCGGAAGAACCTCTGAAGTAAGCGTAAGGGGAATCTGATGATTTTGCAAACACCACTGCGATTGCAATCAAGGCACGTGGTCTGGTTGTAACCTGCGCGCAGCACCGGACGCAGCTGAACAAGAACATGTGGACATCCTACAACCTCCTAAAAGGGTACCTACCTGGAGTCGCTCTGACGTGAGAGAGCGCAGGGCGTATGCCACGCGTGGCGACTGTGGGAGAGTGGCCTTGACCATGGAGGAAGCAATCGGGAACCTCTGCCTCTGCAGCGGACGCCTGGCATAGGCTTGGCGACGGAAGCGGCTATGCTCTTAGTCTCTTACAGTGTTGGTATCAGGGGCTCGCTTTGGGTCGTGGACATTCCAGACGCCTCTGCACAGGATCGTTGCAGGGAACTGCAGCACTCCACTTGATCCACATATACAGGCTTGAAGCCATATATTGTCAGCTTCCACGGCCGCGACAAAAACTGCTCTGGGACAGCAACTGTAGAGTCAATTTGTTGAGGGGAAACTATGAACAGCATGTTGAATGTGCCATTGCAGCCGAACCTCGCGGCATGCTCGACGTGATCCGCCAACATGTAACTAGTTTCGCTTCTTCACCAGACCAAGCCAGACATCCGAACCGAACGTCAAAAGACAGCATGTTGGGTGTGCCGTCGACCAAAATACCTGAGTAAAGGCCCCGACCTCAAAAAGGATAATTGACGATCACCATAAGCCGATCGTTTGACATCCGAGAGATTCGGAAGTCCAGTGCACCGCATCTCACACCTTTTCTCTCACTGCACACTGCTGCGACGAGCATGCCCATCGCCAGCACCTTTGCAGCAAAGAACAGCTCTGGTCTCGGGGAACATGAAAGAAGGCGGCAAAACCTTGTGGTAAAGCCGTCTGTCGCATCTGCGCTCAAGGCCTGAAGGCCAGCCTTGAGCTTGAAATGATGGCTGTTTTTGGGATCCCACGTCGCCCCTGTGTGCTTTGATCCACAGGCCCCAGTCTTCCAATTCTGAACTCGATGGATCTAAGTTTACCTTTTATAATTAGCCACCATTCGATGGACACGACTTGACAAGTCGATTGGGAAGAAAGCTGAACGGAAGCTAAAAGAAAGCTAAACGAAGGCCAAGGAAAGTTACATCAAACCTGACCCGCAGCTAAGAAAGCAGAAGCCATGAGCCCAGCAAGCACTCATTAGATGCTCCCGTTCTGGAGATTCCTATCAAGGTGCATTTCCTGGCAGTTGGGCGAGGAGGTATACAATGTAAGCTTCCTGTAAACTGCAGGCCTTGGTTCTCTTGCAGTGCAGCAGAGAGCCTGAAACGGCAAGGCGGAGCATCATGAGCATCAGTGCGTTCGGTGGGGTCGGTGGGTGGGGTGGCAGGGCAGGTCGCGGCGGGGCGGGGCAATCTGGGGGAGCTTTTTTCAGGTAGGGCAGCCCGTCAAGCAGTAAGCGCAAATCAAAGGGTTTGTGTCAAGTTATGCTGTCCAGCATCGTGGCTCTGTCGGTTGTCGGTTGGCTTTTTTGCTGGTTCTGGCTAGCTTTCATTTGACTTTCGGACAGGTTTGCTTTAGGTTTGCTTCAATTTGTTGAATGTAGTTTTGAAGCTTCACCATGCGAGAGATTGTCAAGTAGCGATTCCAGTAGAGGCCTGGCTTGCCAATGCACCCGGTTCAATACCGTGGAACTTCAAGAGCTTGCACAGTTTTGCGCAAAAAAAAACCGTGGCTGCGGTTGGCTCGACAAGAACAGAAGCTTTGGGGAGGTTCAGACAGTGGAGGGAATGTAGGCTCCCCATTAGGGTGTGGCGTGAAGGCGAGAGCGAGAACAGAAAACGTTGCTGGGAAACTTGGCCCAACATTCTACGTATCATGCGCCGGTTTCGGGCTATTGCAGTCGAGAACACGTGATATCCGCATCACTTCAGGTTCCGGTGCCTTGGAAGCGATAATTTGCTTACACAAAGTGTGGAAGGATAGCTGTTTGGGCCGTAGCCAGGCCCTAAGGACTACATGAAATTTTGCTCTCTTTCCCTGGTGGGCCTCAGATTTGTCCAGCACCGGAAGCATTTCGTCCGGGAGCGAAGCCACCTCTCAACACTCCCCTACCAACCTTTGCATGACAGGACCGGTACTGTGGGTTCTGCTTGTGCGAGTCGCATGCAATCTGGACCAGCTCGACATAACCATCCCGTCTTGAACACGGTGGGTCCGAAATCTGCATCCCAACCTCGCATGCTGACGTTGCAGCTGCCAGTGTGAGCACCTTGGGGGCGAAGTGGGCTGCGATGCCTTTTGATTCTGACGGACACACCTACATGCATGCATGTATGCATACATACATGCATACTTCCGTGCGTGCATGCATGCATAATACATAAACGCCTACACACATACGCACATACATACATACATACATACATACGCACATACACACATAATACATCCCTGCAATGTACATACATAATATATATATATATATATACACACATACACACATGTATGTATGTATGTATGTATATACATACATACATACATATATATATATATATATATATATATATATATATGTATTATAGGTGGTTGTCAAAATTGGGGTCCCTCTATGGGTCCTTATTATAATACGGCAGCTAATATTTAGGGTACCCAAAGAGGGACCATAATCTTGACAACCTCCCAGATGTATATGGCGGCCCCCGGCGGGCCCCCACCCCTGCCCACCGTGGCATTGTGGAACAGCTGTGCCTTCATCTTCCGAGTTTAATTCGCAATGGCTGTGGCGTTTAGGGATAGCCCCTCCCGCCTTGAGGTGGGTCGGTGGGTGGGTGGGGGAACGCGCACAGCGCACAAGAATATGCGCATCTATCTGTGTAGGTTCCGTTTGTCTTTCTCTTACTTGCATACAAGAGAGAGCAAGAGAGAGAGAAGAGAGAGAGAGAAGAGAGAGAGAGCGAGAGAGGGGGAGAGAGAGAGAGAGAGAGAGAGAGAGCAGAGTGACCGACAAAGAGGACGCTTGATTGGCAGGTAAAGCGCGAAAAACATGCATCTGGCTTCGACATCTTTGTTAAGGTTGATGCCCAGCTGGAGTTGCCTTTCGGGCATCGTAACACCCAGCAGGGCACATCCACATCTGCAGATCGCTGCTCGAGGCGGCCGAAGAACCTGGAGCAGGTCATGTCATCAGCCCAGGTCCCAGATTCGAAGAACTGAAAATCGTTGCCATGGCTTGGCTAGTATCGTTTCCAAGGTTTAATTTCGGAGTCGCAGCACGAAGAATAAAAGCGCATGCCACAGCAGCTTCAACATTTGATGGCATGGCTCTTAAGTTCATCACCCATGTCGATGTCATTGGAAACTGTTGGACCTTCCTAACATGACAACTCCCGGTATCAGTGTGGTGAGGCTTTTGCTTCAAACGGAGCCAATGTCAATTCCCGTTTATAGCCATCTGTTTGGTAGTGCTTTCGTTTCAAGGAGCAAAAGGGCTGAGGCCTTCAAGGCACCGGGAAACGTGTTCTTACTGTTCGGTGTAGAGAAACACGTCCACGAGTTAGGCCAGAACACGAAGCCCTGGTTGTGAAAGCAACCTTCAAGAAAGCAGATCTCATGCGCTCTTTAGCTCGACTCTTTCGAACACTGACTCGGCACTTCGTCACATGTGCTCCGTCCCACGACTGTACACGCTGAACGACAGCCTCGTAAGACATCGTTTTGAGCCACTGCCGCATTTTGTCGTAATCCGTCTTCGCTTCTTCAGCCGTTGCTCTAGAAGGGCCAATGCAGATAGTGTTGAGGCATTCAAGCTTCGTCCGTGCAGTGAAGTAATCTTTATGACGTCGGACACCGGTAGGCAAGGCCGCTGCAGGAATCGCAAACACATCTTCGCCGCACTGATTCTTGCTGTGCAGCTCGCAAACCTGCCACAATCGAAGGCCTCGAATGCTGCGCTGCCTTTCTGCAGCACTCATGTTGGGGAGGACTTCTGGATGTTCCTCTAAGTAATCTTTGACTTGCTTGCTTGTGGCAACTTTGCCGCCCAACGACTCCATAGCTTTCATTACTGCCTCCTTTGTCACTTTTGGTCCACTTCGGAGCATCCGTCCATCCTGGATCGCACAGGGCTGCTGCAGATCGGCGATCGCCTTCTGGATAGCAAGCCACGAAAGACCAGCAGCAGCCAGGTGAAGGTCTCCCTCCTGCCGTCGCAAACGGTCTCCACTGTGTTGGTGGGGGTCCAAGCGAGGAAAGTAGCGCTTTGGATGACCATCACACAACTACTGATGCAGGTGGAGAAGACCAATGTGATATTGACGGTGATGCGGGTGTCTACGGCAACGACGACGACGACGACTACTACTACTACTACTACTCCTCCTGCTGCTGCTACTGCTACTGCTACTACTGCTACTGCTGCTGCTACTACTGCTGCTGCTACTACTACTACTACTACTACTACTACTACTACTGCTACTACTGCTACTACTACTGCTACTACTACTACTACTACTACTACTACTACTACTACTACTACTGCTATCATAGCGCCTAGCTACTGCTGCCGCTATCGCTACTGCTTCGACTCCACTGGTAACGCTGCTCGCCATGATGACGGTGATGACGCCGATTCATAGGATCATCGTACGGGCTTTTCTAAGGTGCACCTGGAAAGCAATCGTGAGCTGCCAAAGCGCAGAACAGTTGTTCCCAAAAAGCGGATCCTTTACTTCGTTTGTTGTCTCGGCATGAACTTGAAATTCAGCGTCTGCCTTATCCATGACACGACACTTCCTCGCCTTGGCTTCAAACCTGGACAGTTGCCGATTGACGTGCTCCAGGAGGGTCTGGATCTGGCCACAATCGAAACCCAGGTCCTTCCAGTCGCGCAGCAGCTGCAACAACAAGGACCTTGCGCGGCGCTGCAGATTCGCCGGTACTTCCCCGATCGGGGCATCGGCACAGGATGCCGCGTCGTTCTCTGAACTCTCATTGTAAGCCGTCGACTTGCGAGGAGGAGATAAAGCAGCTGCAACTGTGTAAAGCACCTCAGCAAGTGCAGCCTGGTTTGCCTTTCTTCCGTTTTTTCTATCAAGCTCGAGTCTCTGTAGACAAGCTAGCCTCTCCTCGTTGACCATGTTCGTCCACTCGTTCATCTTGCTGAAGAGGTGGAGTGGTGTCTGCCGGCTGTGGCCGACCTCGTCGCCAGCTTCAGAATCGATTGCACTGGGCTGCGACGGCGTCAAGCATCTGTGCTTCCGGATGCTCTTACTCTTGAGCGTCTCGTTCGACTCGGCCTCAGCCACGTCTCCATCGCTCATGACCGGACCTTCGCGATGATGCTCAGCATCACTGCATTGCCTGAACCGATCGAGTTTTCGCAGAAGCTTCCTGCGCATTTGCTCCCAGGCTGGATCGGCTGCAGTGGCATGTTCCAGCACAGGTTGCACCTTGCGAAGGATGTTTTGTTGTGAAGTCGACAGGTGTCTGCCGTCGCCAACCTTCGACAAAAACCTTCGCAGCAGGTCCATCTCTCTGATACCAGGAACATAGCCGCGAGGAGCATATACGAGCCATGCAGCTACGTGAGCTAGCCAGATCCGGGCTCGTCTTCTGGCCAGGTTACTTTTTGCTTTCTCCATTGCTACACGCAGCATGCGCCTCTTGTGCTCTGCTCCGTGGAATCTCTGCGCGTGTGATTGTAATTTCATGTCACGGTGATTTCCAGTGGCGCAACGGACCGGTTTAGCTCCAACTCTTCGGCGCAGAGCAACGGGAGCTCATGGAGGCCAATGGTGAAAGAAGAACACCGTGTGCTTTGTCTGTCACTGCCTGGACGTAAACTAAACACTAAACTTCTACACCTCCCGCTACAGTGAATTGAACTCAACTTTTGAGCATTCTGCCGACATCCGAGAAGTTTCTGCAGGCGAGACGGCGTTCCCTGCAGAGTGGCGGACATAGATTGACAATTTCTCATGAACTCATTGTAGCCGGCAGCAGGATGCAGCGTGTCTGTGCTAGGACCTCGCTCATGGACAGCATGCACCATAAACATCCACAAACCAAGATGTCCCATCACATTGTCGCCTCTCCTTCGCCCCCGCATGATTTGGCATATGACTTGTTCTCGTGTCTTGCATCCTGTGATCCTCCAAGCCCTGAAACTCTTCAAGGACTTCTGAAGCGTCTTGCGACTGCCGGACCTATCCAATCTACCTGAGCTGGCAGACCGAAACTTATGCTCAAACAGGTCCTCAACTCACCCCACACTCCTATCACTCCTATCCCTGAGTCATAAACTGCATTGAAAGAAACAAAAGCAAACTCTCGACAGTGGCAATCAAGGGAGATCGCGAAACTCCCGACACGATCAACATCGCGAAAAGAAATTGCCATCCAACCCTGAAGCGTGAGTCGACACTACCCCGACAGCAGTGCTTCCCACACACTCTCAGTGACCCTTGCCGCCGAGTCACCCCAATGCCAGAGGCCACTGCTCGGCTTTCTGGTAGGCGCTGATCCTGGGTAGCTGCTGCAGACTGCTGAGGTTGGGATTGCTTCGGTTCTGCAGCTGCGCCACGCAGGGCCCTGAACTTGAAGAGGCTTCGTGTCAAAGCTATGCCAAACGGCCTACTTCCCAGATGAGGAACATGTGTCGGCAAACCTCTTCCCGTTGCGCACGTGCCCGCCAAGCCTGACATGCTGCGATCCCAAGCTTCGCTTTCCCATCCCTGCATCTCCTCACATACCTAGCTGACCTAGCTCTTGACGGACGAGTAGCACGGCATTGCAGGTGAACAAGTTCGCCTGCCCAGCACGGCCATCCAGACTGCTTGGGGCAACTTCGCAACCGGAAACGGTCAATCTATCTTTGGTTCACGGCTCTGTTGTTAATCCGAGCCGAAAGCAGGAATTCACGACGTGCTGCCCCGAGGTGGACTTTACGATTACATGCCTTCTGCATTTTCGATCGGAGGTCAAGCAAGAAATGGTCACAGAAGGAGCAGAAACATTTAGCAGGCCGAAGCCGCACCGGAAGCTTCGAGCCCCGAGTTCTTCGCAGCAGTTCTCTGCTCTCAGGTCCTCCAGCTGATCTTCTTCCATCGCATGGAGAAGAGCATGCACGTGTCGCCACTGCCTGAAGGACAGCATCTGGCTTGTGTCGACTCGGCCGCCCTCTGCACAATTCCACGGTGTTGTGGCAGAACTGCCCTGATTCAACCAATGCCCAACACAAAGGCACCGCATCATACCATGACGGGCAGCAGGCACTTGCCACATGCAGTGATGAGGGCGTTGTAGGTGATCACCTCTCATGAGGAAAGAGCTGCAGAGAAAAACCCTTCATGGCACGAAACCCTTAATTGGCCCCGGCTACAACGGACGGGCTCTCTTGCAGTTTCGAGGATCCATGCAGAACCCTGGCCCCCTGCTTTTATCTTGTCCAGGCGAGGAGCGCTTCCAGCGAGACCAACACCCAAAAGAACGGAGAAGAGCGCCAAGGCGCGCTGCCACTGCCAGCCTCAAGCGAAAGCTAGTTGAAGCAGAGGGAGAATTGAAAAAGCTCTTCTGATTGATGTTTCGCACTGCCAACTTCTACCGAGCCTGTTATCCTGTAGTTCCTGTTCTATCAATTTATCCATCTACACACACGCACATGCACGCATGCTTTGTGCGAAGCACGACGAATGGACAGGATTTCTTTTCTGAAAGCCTCGCCTCAGCATTGACCTTTGTCAAACCGTGCTGGAGTGAGCAAGCTTGAAGCGAACCACTGAAAGATTATAACCGAATGAGTGGGGAAGGACACGGCAACAACTCGGGCGCCCAATTATGAGCGATTCAGGGGCTCTTCTCGCAAGCGCTGATCGCCGCATTGTAGGTGATTGCCTGGGATGCGATGAAGACTCTTGCTTGAATCCAGGTCGGTCCTTATGTTGGATGGGGCTGGGGGAGGGGGGTTGCGGGTAGGCTCGGAGCTTGTGGCTTTTAGGGTTGAAGGTGTTGGGAGAGTTTAGGCCGGAGGGTTGAGGAGCCTGAATCCGAAGGCCTGAACTGTAGTCGCTGCCTCCATCTGAAGCCCGCTTTCACGAAGCTCCTCGCAGGGGTAAGGAAGACATCCCGCCAGCCGCTCAGCGACAAATTCTGAAAACGAGAGCAAAGAAATGCAGCATGTATTGTGAAGACATCATGCCAGCTCACGTGCTAACCTGTCAGTGTTCAGGTTCAGATCGGCTGAAGGACGGTTTAGACATCCTGAACTCCCGAGCGACGTCGTGACTTCTGCGAGCTGCTGTTTGGCATGGCTGAGGTAAGGGACTTGGGCGCACAGGCAGAAATTGGTACGATCTGAAAGCACGATTATGTGCAATCAAGACTTAAAAGAAAGATGACCATAAACGCAAACTTGCAACATCAACAGCTTCACAGATATGAACAAATCAAAACTAGACAGGTAAATGAGCAATTAGTGAATAAGAACAGTAAATGGAGACACAACTAAGTGAAACAACACAATAGATAGCTAAACGAAAGTTTGTATGTGTGTGTATATACATATGTATTATCTGACAACATGTATTTAGATGTATGTCTAGACTTATGTATACAGGCATGTCAACATGTAAGTATAGTATGCACACATAACAAATTTGTCAATATATAAGCATGTAGGCATACACGTGTATAAGTACGTATATGTGAATCATAATTATACAGGGCCCAAATCGCCACAACCGCAGGGAATGTAGAGTAGCCGCAATACAAAAGTGGTATGCCCGGCAAATGACGCCATGGAGGAAGGCAGGTCATGATAAGCACCATACTTACTATGTCGGATGGCATCTGCCGGCCTGAACGGCCCTTGGCTGCGGGCTGTGTTTGGGAACTTGAGCCACTCGAATCTGCTCCCGGCTATGGGAGAAACTTCTGTTGGTGGCAAAGAGGACTGCAAGTTTGTCAGTCACGTGGTGTGAGGCGGTATCCACGGATTTGTGGAGAAGTTGGACAGTGGCGAAAGGCTGGACCGGGTAGCATCGAGCAGCCGCGGCAAGGCCGATGGATCTGACAAGGACGGAAAGCCAGTTGTGCGAAAGGTCTGCGTTTTGACAAGCCGCAACAAAAGGGACGGCATGTTTGAAGCGGTGCTGAGCATGCGCTGAGGCATGCAAATTGTCGGGAAAATGCTCGTCGTCAACGCCATCACCTTTGAGACATCGTGGCAAGGGCCTCATCCAGAATGTAGCGTCAAAGGTGTGTTACGGTTTGCGCGCGCCATTCCGCCGGAACAGAAGCAGCACAGTTCTTGGAATGCAAGCAGGTGCGTGACTAGTTCCTTGTCCATGTGCTGCTTGTTAGTCATCACGGTGCATTTGAAAGTGCCGTGTGGGGCGTAGCTTCGCAGTATGCCTCCGTTCCGAGGAGGATTAGGATTTCCTGTTGGTTTGGGCGACAGTGGGGGACGAATCGAGAGTTCCGTCCTACATGTATTGACGGCAAATGTTTACCTGCTTAACATACTGTCTGACCTTTGCTGAATGAAGCTTGCCGCGCCATCTGATGCTAGAGTATCAAGTATATAGGGCTGAGGGGGTTTTCCGTTGCTCCTCTGTCTGCGAGGCAGCACGGAGTCGCAATCTCCATGTTGAGCGAAGTTGCTTTTCTGATCCAGCTGTGCAGCCAACTGACAACCGAGTTGAAGGGTTCGTTTCCACGGTAGGTGCTGTACTTCTTTGCTTTGGCATCCCTTGTTTACCCATATCCGTCGCTTCCCTGAAGCGCCTGCCGGCCGGTTTCATGCAGACATGTTTTGTCTGCACCCTAGCTAAGCTGCGTACACCACAAACAGCACGGAAACTGGATTGTAAATTCATCGTAACAGTAAGCACATAAGTAAGTTGTAAATACATACATGTATCTGTAAATATCTACAGGTATCCAGGAATCCAAGTGTACGCGCTGAAACAATTAAACCCAGCTAGACCGCCAAGCCCTCTGGTCCTGCAGCAGCACCAGCGCACGCTCCCACTGCTTTCCTTTTTCGCCTATGGCAAGCGGCCACGGCGGGAATATAAAACAAAAACACGGCGCAGGAACCACCTTCACACTTTGCTCGCATCGAATCTCTGTCGAATCCGGAGTCGAAGAGTCGCAGTCAAGCTGCATGCGCTGATGGCTGCGCTCAAGGTGAAGGCATCTTCCTTGAATTGTGTGCTACCAACTACCGTCCACGTCGCAAGCGGTGAATTCGCAAGTTCTTGCAAGAGGCTCCAGGTGGGGATGCTTGACTGCTACAGGCTTTACCTTTTGATTTGGGTCCTCGGCATCTGCCATGTATTCGTTGTGCACATGACAAGCGTGTAGCCTTGTGGAAAGCAAGTCGTAAGCACTGCAATAAAGAACTCTCGAGAATGGTGCATTGCAAGCCTCCCGAGGCCGCACATTGAGCCAGGGCTGAACCCTCATTCGTAAGGAATGCCTTGCAGACACCCACCACCCTGTAGACTCTTCGTACAAAGACGGCCTACAAGTGAACATGTCCCAACTTTCGATTCTGAGCTTTCGATTGCAACATTCAATGAGAAGTACTGGGCCCCACTGACGGTACCAGCAGTACGAACCATCAGGCTATGAATAGCACAAGCGTAATCTTGTTAACTGAGCTGTATCGCTGTTCAGGCACTTCCAAAGCGCTGCTTCGGAGCTCCGCCAGCACCATCAGGGCCTGTAGCGAAGGGTCTTTCGAAACACCGCAAGCAGATACAGTACAGCCACTGTGTCTTTGGTACAGTATGTCTGTGCATATACACCTTATAGACACATTTTTGTGTGTATGTATGTATGTACGTACGTAGGTATGTATGTATGTGTGTCTGTGTGTATGTACGTCTGTGCGTATGTGTGTACGTAAGCAAGTGTGTGTGTCTGTATGTATGTAATACGTTATACATACATATATATATATATATGTATACATATATATTATACACAACTAAAACAAGTACAAATATATAGACAGTATAGACCTGAATATACATCCAAACGTAATGTACAACTATGAATGAACAACCAAATACGTGTAAGCGTGCGATATGTACACACATATGACATACAACAAAATATCGAACAGGTGCATTCACGTTGCTAAGTGGATGCATACGCACCAGGTACATACAGCTGTGCGGAGATGCATCCTCCCTAAACCCTAGATGTCGCATGTTGAAAACCTCTCTCTCAATCTCCGCACATCCTGTCCGTGCTGACTTAAGGCATGCATTATCAGTCCATGTCACTTTGAAGCTTCCGACATGACGGCGCAAACGGACGCTCAGAGGATCATCTGCAAAGCTGCTCGTGGCCAGTCTTCCGCTTTCTCCAGTGCGCTGATGATGGCATTGTAAGTGATGACCTCGGATGTTGGGCGCCGTCTGACGGCTTCCCAAATCTCCCTGTGAAATGTCCATTCTTTGCAGCTTCACCGAATGTGCAACTGCATCGATCTGGCTCAGACACCGCAGAGGGCTGGCACAACACGAGGATTGTGCCCCTCTGGAAAAGTCTGTTGTCGAGGCATCTCTGTCGAACACTGTGGTGATACACCGTGACCTTCCGTCTTGATCCTCCTCGCGAATTCCTCCCCTCACTTGCCAAGACCCTACAAACAGCTTTCTGAGGCCTTCGCACCGGCCTCGACGATGGTCCGACGTAGCGTTGCAAGGAGCTGCACGGCTTGAGGCCAATCGTTGGCCTCTGGCGCTCTCCAGTCACGGGCACATAGATTAGGCTTTTGCTCGGTTGTCTGCAGGTTTTGCGGCTTTGGGGATGTCGAGGGTTTGAGTTCGAGGCTTGGCATGCGGAACTTGTGTTTTAGAATCTTTGATGCGACTTGTGCACTGATGATAAAATGGAGCAAGGCCCATGATTCTCAGTTTACTAACTTACTAGTTAGGGTCTTCATGAGCTACGTGACAGCCACTTGAAATGTCCCAAATCGCAAGAGCCGCTTCGATTTACAAGATGCTTAGAAGCGGTGCAGGCTCAAGGGGCACAAGCGCTGATTGCGGCATTGAAGCTGACGACATCAGGGACTGCACGCTCCCTGCACAGAAGGCACCGACTCGCCATGGGAAAAGCGGGCAGGAATCAGGAATCCAGTCTTGAGTGCCCCACTCTGCACCTTCTGCTTCTGCCTATAATATATGCAAGCGGAAGTCCTGTAAAGCACCATGTCCTGTTTGCCTGTCAGCACAAACCGCGAGCCCAAGCCATCCTACGATCCTAAGCACTGCGACCCCAATCCTGCAAAACAAGCGGAACTCGAGGGACCCCTGCAGCGCTGCGAGGAGCTGCGTGGCCCTCGGCCAGCGTGCCGCCTTCTCAAGGGCGCTCAGGACCTTCGAAGTACATCGTGGTGAATCCACTAGAAAATGTAGCATCCTCCTGTCCACTGTTGAAAGCCGATATGCAGGAGAGCGCACGTTTTCTACCGTTCGTCACACAGCCGGCACCAATTCTCTCATTGTTCTTGAGTGGGCTATCGTCCAACTTGAGACAGGTGTGACGTTCAATCCACCAGTTGTGGCCTCTTTTGATTATTCCCTCCCTCCTTCCCTGCTTGCCTCCTCCCTCGCACTCTCTCCCTATCTCTCTCTCTCTCTCTGTCTGTCTCTCTCTCTCTCTCTCCCTGTCTCTCTCCGCAGCTTCTCCCGCAACACGGCTTGTAAAACCAGGCGGCCACGCTGTGGGTCATCGTGCTCAAACCGGGTGGCAAGGCTGTCGTCAGGCGTGCTCCTGAGATCGAAGTCCCAATCGACTGCTTCAAGGAAACTAAACTCGAAATGTTGCTGCCCCGGTACATATAATGTTGCTCTCTCTCCCTCTCTCTCTATATATAAATATGTATACACAGACTATAGAGAACCGTAGTGTGCAATAGACTTTGAGCAAGTGCCCTTTAAGGAATTCTGCAGACGCAAATCCTCCCATACTGCCCATACTTTCCGTGCGCAGAAATTAAGTAGCAAATGCCGCCGCGATCTGCAACGCCAACAACAGCCTGCTTCGAGACCAAACAGTGTACTGAACTGCGACTTGGAGTCGAAGCTGCAGCAAAGCGTGCTGCCAACGACTAGAGGCGGCACAAGCTCCGGTGGCAGCATTCCTTTGCACAGAACTGATACATGCATCATCATGTGGCGCAGCAGTGTCGCAACAAGCCGAGCTTCAGAGCAACCTACAGTCTGCCGCTTGCGCAGCGCATGTGGACAGCTGGACAGGTTGGGGTCGTTTACATGCCTTGACCATCCCCACATGCAAATTTGAGCCCGGCCCAAATCCGCTTCGGATCACGATCACCACAGGCAGCCGAGGTTCCAGGACATCTCGTCGGGGCGGAGGTCGACCTGATCATCGGCGGACCATGACTTCTGGAAGGTGCCTGCTCGCTAATATCTCGGCCCAAAATGCTGAGAGTTCAAAGACGATACGCCAGGACAGAGTTACCAATTGAAACCGATTAATGCTGCCGCAGTCCTTCGAGGCTTTAGGGCCTGACACTCAAGCGGAATCTTTTCGGCATTTCGTCAGTTCGCGCCTGGCAAGCGGCGCTGACTGCTGCACAGGCCAAGCGCCACTTCTCGACCGCCTTACCTTAGCGAAACTGAGGGTGTGCATGATGTCTTCTGGAAGTTGCTGTGAGGCTAGATGCTTCAAGCCTGTAAGCGTATCATGAGTGCGATGGTATGTCAATTAGTTCCAGACAGAGCATGCATCCGGAGTTCATCTTTCTTAATTACTGACTACCTATATCACTTTATATAGTGGACTTCTGCAGATTGGAAGCAGGAAGATAAGACCGACAGCTAAACCATGCCGGTTGTGAAACGACGACGTAACGATGCTCTTGTTCAGCTGAACAGACCTCACACGCTTTGCGTGGACCGGGACGAAGAAGCATCGGCTTTATGTGGTCAGCCGAACACCAAACGGCCAGGGAACTCGTCAAGACGCTACGACCTCTGCGCAGTGGTCAGACAAGTCACACACCCAAAGGGCGGCATTAAGAGATGCAACGTCGCCACGGTGAACGGCCAGTGCTCCCTTCCAGCTCGAGCTCCTCTGGAGTTGTTCGGTTCGAGTGGGTTGAGGAGCCTGGCTCTTTGCACGAACGAGACAGGACACAGCGACATCTTGGCGAGCATGGGCTGTCACAGAGCTGCGCTACACCCGGTTTACACAAGTGCGCGAACGTGTCTACTGGACCTAAGGGTTTCAAGGGCCTAGCCTGTCATAGACGCCGATGGCTGCGCATCCGGAAACCTTTCAGTACATTCCACGTGCAGCTGTGGCTGATCTTGCATCTGATGCTGTTTCACAAGGCTCGGCGCAGTCCTAGCACAGAAGACCGTTCTGAAACTGTCGTCTGCAAGGTTTCGGATTGAAAAGCTTCGACCCAAGATGAGACAGCTCTTCAACAGTTGATCTTGTGAAGTCTGACTTCAGGAACATGCTGCTACCTTGTCCGCTTGAAGCCAAGCCCGACAGGCCACCGGCAAACGACAGCCCCAAAGCATATCTTAAGCAATGCTCCGAAACTGAGCCCCACATGTCCAAGCTGAACATCCGAGAAATATCATTACCACCAATGGCCCGGATGGAAAGTGGCCAAGGCCTCGTGCTGCCAGGCTTGCAGGAGCACCTCGCGGATTGGAGTCGTGTTTTTGTTGGACTCAGTTTTCAGGCCGTCCGATGAAGACAACGAGCCACTCCGATCACCTCGCCTGTGCGCGCTGCCAAGCCCCGGCCACGGCCGCACTCCTAAGCACTTCAAGTGTCGATGTAAGTCCTCACTCTAGGGTCTGAGACGATGTCAATCTTTGCAAGCTTTGTTGTGACAAGCCACAGAACCGAGCTGAGGGCGACGTCATCCGGTTGCAGGTCCTCCAGAGACCATCGTTGCGCGCCAAGACGAAAAGGCGGCTTCCCGAATCTACGGAGCCCCTTCATTGCCAAACGCAACAGGCAGCCACACTGATCCCCGCAGAGGAAGAACTGAAGTCCGGGAATCAACTGCCTTAGTTCCCGGTCCAGATCCCCCAGGCGGCAGAGCAGGTGCAAAGCATCAGGCCAACCTCGAGGAAAACCGTCTTCTTGCAGATCGAAGGGCGAAAAGGCACAGGTTCATTATTTCACTCAAGTTTCGAGTGATTCGAGATCTTCTCTGGAATAGGCAGCTTCTGCAAGCTCTCACGTCCTGTTCTTGACCGGCAGGCAGCAACTTTAACTGAAATGCTCTGGCAGCCCCTGATGGGAAGACCAATTTACATGTATGAGGTTCCGGAGATTGCTGTCACATGCTAAGCTGCTAAGCCGCTGAGCCCTGCAACTGGAACTCCAAAGCGGCTGTATCAAGCAAGCTCCTTCCTCAGCTCAACCAAGACACGTGCAGAGGCGTCGCAGGCGCTGATGCATGTGCTGCATGTTAGCAAGTTGGGTGTCAGCAATGCCTCCCAGGGCATGCGACTCAAGCTTCTGTGGGGCTCACGTAGTGGATGTGGTGTCTAGGCTAAATGCATACCAGGGTCCAGAACAACCCTAACACTGCGATGTAGGGACATAGAGCCCGTACGAACAAAATCGAGTGCCGGTGCCCTTCGCAGCTGCCTCCTCCATCTCTGCTAGGAGATGTGCAGTTCGCTGCCACCTTACCATGTTGCATCGCGTCAGCAGTGCTTCTATGCCATAGTATGCCAGATTCAGCAGCTGTCAACAGAATTAGCTCTGCTTCCTGTAAAGCGGCCTTCAGTATCCATGTGAAAGCTGCCTGATTTCGATAGATCAAGCGACTGACTGCCCGCCGCCAATGCGGCCATCGCAGACCCGAAGGCCACGATGTTTGCCTAGGATGTGGCAGCGAGCAACCCACGCACCACCAATCCCACCTTCCACCTTCCAGCGTGAGTTAACGCCTCTCATGTACTGATGGCCGAAAGCTTGGGATGCTTGGCATTGGTCGAACTATCGTTTAGCATCGTGCAAGGCACCTCCATCGCCGTGCTGCGCAGCTCCGCGAAGAAGGCCAAGGCCTGCTGCCATCCTCAAGGCTGAGTGTTAAGCCGTTGGGCAAGCTTATGCCTGTCTGCAAGCTTCAGACTTTACGATGTCCAACAGCTTCGGATGTTGAAAGGAGCCATTCACCGGAATGCAGACGAAAAGCCACACCCATGTCCAGACAGAGGCAAGCAAACAGGTAAGCAAACAAGCAAGCCAGCAAGCAAGCGCACATGCATGCAGGCATGCATGCATCCATCCCTGCGTCCGTCCGTCTGTCCGTCCGTCCGTTCATCACGTCCATGCATAGATACACACGGCGACCCGGAAGCCCAAAAGACAGAACCAAAACTATAGATCAAGTCAAGGCACGCTCTCCTCTGCAGGCGCTGATCACTGTGCTGTACGTAACGACGGAGGCTGAGAGCTGTGACATTTTCAGCTCAGCGAAAAGCTTCAGCGCCTGCAGAGGCAGAGTCTTGCAGGCGCTGAGCTGCGATTGGTCTGCGTTCCAACCCTTCGCAAGTCTTCGGCTTTTTTTTTAACGGATTTTTCTCTCATCAAAGCTCGTCGACACGAGTCCTTCTGCCACAGCAAAGCAATCACAGCGCTCGCGCGGCGACAAAACCGAGGCCCGACGAAAACCACAGGCTTTGGAATCACACCTCGCGCCGCTCACGCGCTAAACGAGATGGACAACAAACGACATATCATTACCCACAGCTTGAAATCACGCACTCCTTCCGGAACGTCTCTCGTCGCAACGTGCCAGCTGCAGGCGAAGTTTGCACTGCCTGCTGCCATTCCTCGCAGTTGCCACAGGCACTGAGGGCTGCATTGCACGTAATCACCTCGATACGGACGTGACTGGAAAAGAAGCATGTGTCCCCGAGCAAAGGGATTCATTAGGGCAAGAAAAACTTTCCTCGACAGTGCAGAATTCGATTCATGGACACTCTAAGACCCTGTGCCTCACTTCTGCAAGATGCCGCATCTCGACCCAGACTCCGGACGTTTGAGTTTATAATGAATGTTGCAGCTGTCGTGCAAGTCTACACGGAAACTGTCGACCACTGAATGCGCACAAACAGCCCAAAGCACGTTGGGTTCCAGATGGCTTTCGCAGAGGTCGCGCAACAGTTCCAAAGCAAGGGCCCATTGATCCTGGACGCAATGCTTCGACAAACACAGCACAGCAGCTTGAGAGCAAACACTGCAGCGAACCACCGCCCTGGGCATATAGACTACTGACTGTGTTCCGTGCAGGCACGACATGAAAGTTGGCTTCACCGAGACTTGCAGACGGTTTCCCTGTCAATCTAGGGTCCGGCACGTGAACCTGGGCCCCCTTGTCAGATCAACTTCCCTACCTGGTCGGCTCGATCGAAATCCAAGACCTAATGGTCCTCGCAGGCGGTGATGGCCGTGCTGCAGGTGATGACATTAGCTTGCAGGCCACGTTCGGGAAGTTCACCTTCCGGATCAAAAAACCTTTAGAATGCTTGCGTATCCCGCCAACTGCAAGCCTGCGGTCTCCGACTTTATGGAGCTTGTTTGATTCAATTTCATCTTTTGGACATGCCTGCAAAGATGCTCGAGTCTAGTGACACCAGAGCAGGAACTATGAGCATAGATCCACACATGTCCCTCAAGCAGGCAACGGCACGCTCGCTCTAACAGTCCGACACATCGTAAGCAAACTGAAGCTCCAAGTCTGCACGCCACCCTGCCCGCACCCCCGCTGCCTAACAAGTGCAGGACCTGCTGCCACCTCTTGCCTGAAGGATTTCTGGGTCTGGATTCAACTCTCTTCGATTCTATGATGCGTTTTGCCTCTTGAGTCAGGCTGTACAAGGTGGAACAGCATGGCCGGCATCCAATTATTTCTCCGTTGACTAAATGAAACTCGAAGGTACGTCTGTCCTGTTCCCCCCTCGGCAAGAACACATGTAGAGTTCAAATTGCGAGCCATGCCATGCCCGGGCAACCCTCATGACGGACAAACCCCTGTCCCTTCGCATGCCTTCGAATGCAGTCATCTAGAAGTCCCAAACTTGTGTTGTTTGCTAAAGCCCCAGGCTCTTAAGGCTCTTCGTGGGACGTGAGTTCTGCCACAGGCACAGCTGAAACCAGTGGTGCGGTTCTGCACTCGATTCCTGCAGACTAGTCGGACACTGGGTCCTTGCAGTTCAACCCCCGATGCCAGGTGCTCAATGAATATCCAATCCAGGTGGTTGAATGAACTCACTCGGCATGAGCGGCTCTTCTCGACGGCGCCCAGAGCAGCGCCGAATGTGATGATGTTTGTCTGCCTGGGTCAGAGCACAAGTGAAACTGTTGAGGGTATCTGCTTGTTTGCACGGGCTGGACATGACGTTCATCGCGTGCTGGTGTCACATATCATCCTCGGACATGTGGTGCTCCTCTACGTACTGTCTACGGTTGAAATGCCTGCGTAAAAAGAAGCGAGGGGCAGCTGCACCAACGGGATCTCTTCCAGCAAGCTGAGGGCACTCTGCCAGAGCTCGCCTGAGCAGGGCTTCCGCCACTGGAAAAGACTCCCGTGCATGTCCAGAAAGGTCAGCACTTTGGAGCTTGCACAGTCGTCCCTATCTACGACATCGCAGCTACAAAGAACTATGCTAAAATCGAGATACGCCGTGGCCGAAACAGAACTAATCGAACACTGCACAATGATAACAAACGAGCTCCTTGGCTCAATCTTCATATAGGGCCACCACCCCGCGCGCACGCCGTGATGGCTGCGGTATACGAGACCTACCGGGCAAGAGGAGACTTCGCGACACGCCAGGCCCGTGCCTACAACTCACCTTGCTATCCGGCCATTTTCAGCATCACTGTCCTGCAACAGCAACTGCCATTGACCGTCAATGTTTCTTCGGCTGTGTGAGTGCCTGACTCAAGAAGTGTCAGATTCAACCTCGAGCCCGACACTGTAAATTGTTGCAAGCTCGACGTCTCTAATTTGGGCCTGGAGCCCCGACAAGTCCACAACTGGTCCGGGCCACGGTAGCTCCGAGCGGCCTCCGTCGGCCACAGCCGCGCTGCCGGCAGCGTGTCAAAGAGGCGGAGGGCTTCCTGCCAGCTGCTGCCTGGTCGACGCTTTGTTGGCCGTATACTCCAAGTGCGGGTCTGTGGGTTTACGGGTGGAGAGCGACCGGGTCATAGCGAAACCGATCCCGTTTAAGCCCTGACGAGCGAATGAAAAGTGCTGTTTTGGTCAGGCCCAACCGCCTTTCGCATGAGAACTGATGGCAGCATTGTAGGCGACGACATCCATGCCTGACTTCGCATGTGCGCACACAATGAACCATGACCGCAAGTCAGCCGTCGAGACTTCAGCAACCACAGTCTCATGCATGAGAGCATGGATCTTCTGTTTGACCTGCGAAGGTCGAAATTCCAGCATGAAAGCACAACTGCAGTCATTCCGAGACCTCTAGAGGCAGCAGATACGGATTTGGCGCGATTGCATCCCAATTCCTGGCCCATATTGCCCGAAAATCAATATCTCTCACAGTTGCGGATGCGAAATCGCGCGACGATTCACACATTGGCCAGCTGTGTAGGCTCCTTAGTTGCTGCAAGATCTCGAGATGTTAGCTGCCTGCGAAAGGTGGTCATGCATATGCGGTTCGGTTCACCCCCACAACCTGCAGAAGTCGATGGGATGCCAGCAATCTCAAATTGCGCACGTCTCACTCTGCTGGCTTTTCTGGCGACTGGGGCGCAGGGAGAGCAGGCGATGATGCGCAGAGCGGGCGGCGACAGCCAGGCCAGGCGGCCAGGAGGAGGCCGGGAGACGCAGCGGGGCCCGACGACACGGAGAAAGCGACAGGACTCTTTTTTGACTACGGGGCCCGCATGGGCAAATCAGGATCATACAAGGGTCCAAGGGTCTTGCATGGGTTGAAGCAGTCCTCAAACGGTTGAAGGGTGGGGCAATGCATGGGAGACTACCTTTGATTGCAAATGCTCGTCAAGTTTACAAAGGTGCTTGAGGTTTGCATGAGGCTGCTCTGACTGATACAGGCGCATGAAATCAGATTACCGAAACAGCTCCGAGCGCAAACATGCGTGCAAGCCTCCCTAAAGCTTCGCCAGGACGTTGAACATCGAATGCTCAACTCCGCAGCACGCCCTATTCTCCGCAATGGTTGGAGAAAAAGCTGACTAATCGAGCGCTCTTGGTGGCATAGTTAGGCTGAGGGTGGGAGAGCTCGTGTTGTAGTTGCCAACGAAAGTGTCCATGCCAACATACCTGGCCGTGTCCTCAACACACTGTATGTGTCAAAGAAACTGCATCTGCAACGGCTCTGTCGTGTTCAAAGTTCCTGGACATGCGAGCTTCATGACAACAAGCCCAGCCCCTGTTCCATTGTCCCCCACGTAGAAAGCACCTGCAATCATCTGTGTTCTCTACACCGTCTTCGTCTTATTACTCTGACACGACAGGTTTAGTTTGCAGCCTCAGCGGGAACTACCAGCGCGAGCTACAGGAGGTAGTCATGGGCTGTAACGACTTCAAGATCGAGTTCGGATCTATGCAAGACCTGCTCAATGCTTCTGTTAGTTTGCAATTTTGCAGTGTACAGGCGAGGACAAGTAGTCTGCCCAGTGACGGCCGCGCCAAGGTGCAGCAAAACTGATCAAGCCTATGAATACTACTTTGTTGTGCTTGCCGAAGATGGCCTCTGCAGCTTTGTAAAGGCCTTACATCCCCAAATGCTTTGCGCCAGAAACAGCTTTTTCCCAGCGAGCGCTGCGGTGGCCGCCAAGCCCCCACTTGGCAGCACCGACACGAAATCAAGGAGAGTCCTCAACTGGCGGCCCATGTCGCCTCAGGGGCTAGGCTACGCTTCGGTTCCAGCCACAAGATGTCAATCTCACTCTAGGGCATCGGAGCTTCCAACATGCACCAGGCCTCAACATCCCGACTACATCCCGGATTGAGAACAACGACACTGCTTACCAACGTCGTAGTCCAGTATGGTCCAGTTTGGTTCTGTCTCGGAGTGGAAAGTTGTCTTTGCCTTGTGCATGGCCGCACCCGGCCCGGTTTCCCTTGTGGCGGCCGCTGTGTGCACTCCGCGCAATGCAGTTGAGGCAGTAGCTGGTATGGTTGCGGTGTTGCCCGAGTGGCAGCGAGGACCAAGTCAGCCTAGAGGACCCGGAGTGCCCAAATGAGTAGGACAGATGTGGTGCATGACCCAGCTGGCGTCACTCAGGGTGAGCCTGCCGCCGGTATTTCTTTCGTACGGTGGGTGCCCGGCGCCTTTCTTGGAGAGCCCCCGCTAAGCGGGCACCCGTTGAACCTGTCTTTTCCGTCTTCTAACTGCACTCTACGCATGCACCATTTTTGCCTCTCAGTTTCGATAGATCCTGTAGTATGATTGCCTATGGTGGCAACAGGCGATATACATCAGCCTCAGACTCCATCTGCCAAGAGACACGCAGTGACTGCCACCTCCAACGTGATGACATTTCCTTCAGTTGAGCTCCGCAGCAGGTCCTGGCTTGAACAAAGTGGAACACGAAAAAGTCCGCAGGGCTACAAAATAATCGAGTCAAAAAGCTTCTTTTACAGGTTAAAGCGCAACTCACATCTTTCCGTGACGACCTGCGGCATGCAGCACGGTATAGCAGCTTGTCATCAACATGATCAACATCTGAAGGGCAGACACATGCAAGCTCTCGCGAGATCTTGCGAGCCTCCATCAAGGACAATACCTGCTGCCACAGCCTGCGCGTGCATTGTTGAGGCAAATGGGGTTAGCAGGGTGTCGGAGAGATGAGGCAATGGATGATGCATCCGAAGATGGTTGGTCAAACGACATACTGCACTCCCTCAACTAGTGACCATACTGTGTCTGATTGTTGGAAATATCACACCAACTGTAGGTGCTTTCTCATACAAAACACAGCTATGTCCGATAGTCCTAGAGGAGACCAGCGGCTTTTCCAGAAACAAAGCCTTGGACAGGCAACTCGGAAACTTGCAGCCACGTGACTCCAAACTCTGCGTTAAACCACTGGAAAACCTTTAGATTCAAGCTTGCCTGCATCTCCCGCATGCAAGCATCACCGAGCTGTACGTGATCACCTTGGGGGCGGCCCACTTCTTAGAAGTGACTCTTTGGATCTTCGTCCCCACGCCCCCGAAACGGTCGGTAGGACTCACGAATCCTTTGCCGATCTCCGAAGCACAGGACATCTGCTGTCAACTAGAAGCAGTCATGCTTGGCAGGCCCTTCACCCCTCTTGGATTTCACGAAGAGGCACGTCCGGAGTCACGGAACGACCGTCCAAGGTGGAGAACAAAACCAACCTGAGTCGGATCAGTCACGAGAAACGTTTCGTGCATGATCTGAGCTCCAAGGCCTCGCAGCCATATGTTAGATGTAGATCGAATTGGGGCATGCTTCGGGACTGTGACTGCGTGGGAGAGGGAAACGAAACCATGAAAACCGGAAGCCGGTGACTTAGTATTCATCTTTGGCCTTGTAAAAACGGATGTGAAAAACAAACATCGCTGCCACAAGACCCCTCAAGCCATGTAGTGTCACTCCTTGCAAACGAACGCACAAATTAAATGGTCGTGCGTCAGAAACCATCCTAGTATATCAGAGCCAAACCTTCAGTGGCCTTCAGCGCTCGAAGTGCGAAAGTTTTTTCCTACCGACAGAACATACAGTCGAGTCCAGCCACGCCGGGCGCCAGCGGCCGCCTTTCTCTGTAGCACTCAGTGCCGCGTTGCAGGCGACAAGGTCGGCACGGAATCGACGAAGAGGGAACTCCTGCGCTGCTAGTTCCTCCTCAGATTTTGCCAGCTTGCTGCTTCGGATCATGTCATCCCGAAGAATTTGAAAACCCTTGAAGCCCAAATGCCGCGATGGCACCCCCCACCCCCCCAGAGTGGCCTCCAAAAAGGCGAGAGCCAGGCACCAGGCTGCACCCTCCTGGAAGCTTTCCAGAAGTGCAGTCAGTCTGATAGGGGATTGAAAGGGTTTCGGTTTAGCCCGGTGAGTCTGCAAAAAGCAACATCAAACTGCGATGCAACAATCAGAACGACGTTGGTCTGCGTCCGCAACGCTCTTCGGGATCATCTCGGGTGTGAATTCATGCATCAATTATTTCACTCGAGTTCCGTAATTACATGCCAATGTTGCGCGACAGTACTTGTGGCAGTTCCACCGATGGACCGGCCAAGCCTCTGGCCTTAACGCCGCTGGTATTGCACGAGGCTCCAAGAAGTTCCCGTGTCCGTTGCGGCACACTTGTAGATCAGGTCACACATTGCCGATCATTGTCGACGGATGAGTGAAAGCCCTCCAGTCAGGATATCACATGACATATCTACCGCCTCTTGAATGTGCTCTTGCTCAACGGATGCTCGCCAGCTTTTGAGATTAAGGAATGTGGCTGAGAACAGCTGGCATCACCCAAAGCATTGGAGAGTTGCATGTTTGGACCTCCCAGCACCTCCCAGTGAGTTGCGGCTCTGACAGTTCAAGGTACCGAGCAAACCGATGTTTTGAATGACCTGTCGCACAGTTCGGGGAGTGGCTCCCAGAAAATTAGAACCTCGCAGGGGTGTCCCTAGACAAGAGAAGTTTCTTTTGGAAAGACTCTTCGTGAACGAGTTCGCCCCTTGGTGGAGTTGCGAGAGAAGTTGCAACAAGCGGGCATTGGGGCTCGCAGATTCCGGGTAGAGTACCCTGAATCTTCTCCTCGTCCGGAGTCCGAAGCTCCTGCAAGTTCAATGTAGAGTCATTTAGAGAAGTGGTCCTACACGTATTTCCGGAAGCCCGGATTCAGGCCACGAGCTCACCGTTGGCCATCCAAGCAGTGCTGAATTGCCTTTCACTCCTTATCCACTCCAGTCTTACTGGGTGGCGGCAAGAACATGGCAAGGACCGTCGCCGGCCGCTAGATGGTCACGCGTATCATCAGTCTCTTGAATAAGATCACGAGAGGTCTTTCTGGCAGGATTCTCTTCCTCCATGCGCGGAGAAGCGAGCGACAGGTTTGTCCGAGGCCTCCGGTCTCTCCTCCACGGAGCTTGCGCTTTCGCTCGGTGGCTGCCTCGAGTTATCGCTCCAAGTTGTTGAGCTCTTGCCGTTTTGCGCTCAAGCTGTCTGCCAGGCCTTGATTGTATTTCTCGAGTTGTACATGTTCTCCTGATTAATCCAGTCGTTTTGTTTGTGTTGGCGTAGCAGGCAGGTGCTCAGCTTGGCGATGGCTTGTTGGCGACTTTTTCTGCTTCGGCTGCCCTGCACG